AGATATTGAATCCCACCTGCTGGTTCACTCCCTAGATGGCCCCAATGGGTGGGACTGGGCCAGGTCGAAGTCAGGAGCTCCATCCACATCTCCCACGAGGGTGTCAGTGGCCCAAGTTTCTGGGCCATCTTTCTACAGCTTTTCCCAGGGAAAGCGGTTGGGACTCAAACTGGTGCCCATAGCAGCATTACAGGTGACAGTTTAATCCACTGCACCACAATTTCAGTCCCATTTTTTCATATACCCAAAAAGTACTTGTGCAATTTAAATGGTTAAACAAGAAACTCTCAAATGGGTGTACCAATTCACTTAACTATTGGACTAACTCTGAACAGAAGTTTTCCCCTATTTTCTTCTAATGTGAGCAATCATCAAAACATTCATGGAGGGGGCCAGCACTGTGGCCAGATGGGCTAAGTCTCGCCCTCAAATTATTTTTAAAAAGAAATAATATAACCTTTTACTGGCTTCTTTCAACTTTTTTTTTAAACTCAAAGAAACCCACAAATACCTTCAGCAAACTTCTCATCAAGCTGACATTTACCTTTTTTAGCTAAAACAGTTACCCCACCCCCATCCCCTTCTTTTGTCTGTATTATTGAACTCTTTTTTTTGGTAGTCATTTCCTGAGTTAGCTGACTGTATGGTAGGCAGACATCTAATTCTTGCTCTTTCAGTGAACTTCATCTAAGTATCAAAATCAGCATGCCAGATCATGTGAAAATTTATCAATGGCTAATGGATGCACGTGGTTTAATGCAGATATTATGCCACCAGAAAATGTTATGACACGCAGTTGTTGGCATTTTTTTCATATGCCATTAAAACAAAACTCATTGATAACCATGACTTAGAAAAACTTATTATTGAAGAAATCACAAATAAAATAAGTTAGGGAATCACTGAGAAGACAAGAAGAAACTAAATATACTTTCAATCTTGATTTAGTAAATATGAATAAAAAATTATAGATTAAAAGCAAATGCATTATATAAAGATCATAAAAGTAGTTGCTACCTATTTCAACCAAGCTTCTTTCAATTCAAAAATATATCTGCCAAGTACTTTCTTAACATCACTACAATGTTTGCTAAAATGTGTATCTGATCTTACTTTGAAATTCAATTCCTTGCCCTTCTCTTTCCATTTGTTAACCAAAACATCAAGTCACACTAGCTGAAGTAACTTTTGCTTGCAAATTCTATTTTTAAACTTAAATGTACATTAAATTATGCTTACTTGTGTAAATAAAAATATTCTTTTCAAATACTATTACTATGTGTAGATGTGTAAACATGCAATTACTGTATCATGGGAATGCAGTTTTCAACAGATACTATCAATCTGCCCTCCAAACCAGCTGAACTAATTTACACTTCCACTAGCAATGCAAAAGGTCCTAGTTCCCATACCTCTTAGATTGTTTGATTAACATTTGCCAATCTGACAGGGGGAAATGGTCTCATTATTTGAATGCAATACTTTCAATACTGCCTTTATTGTACCCTGTATGAATTATTTATTTTTTTAAAGAACATGGATATGTTCAGGTTTTTCAGTCTAATCCCTTTCTTTTATGTATCTCTTTTCTAATAAAAAAAATAAATGTCCAAAAAAAAAAGTAGCAATGCTCCTTCACAGGGACCGTTCACTAAGGTGAACATATCCTCATGGTCTTTACAGAAATTAAAGACAAAATGCTCCAGAAAAGTCTAACAAAAAGATATGTTAAACAAGTACTGACATGCAGGGTAATCAAAGCTCTTGAAAGCCATAACAGTTTGTGACTTTGATATAATGCTCATTTTCGCCTCTTGTTTTCTGGAAATAGAGATATTTGGAAATTAAAACTCTAAAATCAATCTGGCAACAGCATGCAAAGCAGAATTCAAAATAGACTGAATTAGAGAAAATTATGATTTTGGGAGTATAAATGTAGAGTTAAATGTGAGATGAAAAATTACCTACACAAACATTAAAGTCAAAGCTAAAAGAAGGGATATGTTGTTAAGATGGGAGAAAAGAAGGAAAGGCTGCAGCTGTGGGTTTACCCGGGGAGGAAATCCAGAAACAGCCAGGAAAGTAAGAACAATTTAAAAAATACAGAGTCTGGTAAAATTGGTTTTCAAAATGACAGAATGCAGGACTTGTAAAACCTTATGGTAAACCAGATTGAAGTTGTGTGAAGGAGGGTACATCGTCTAGGGTGACAGTGGCTTAAAAAGTCCATGGAAAACGATGAAGTACAACACTAGCTTATATTCCATCTCCTTCCAGAATATAAGGTAAGGCTGGTAAAATACAAAGTCAGAATGAAGCAAAGGAGGGAAAGCAAATATGCCAGTCACATGATCTGATAAAACTGCTATGGTGAAGCATTAAATTCATTCTGACCTCATTTACTAGCAGGGCAAAAAGATAAACAGTGCAAATCCCATCGCTTCAGGTAAGACAGATGGATAATTTCTTAAGAAAAACTGTTCCTGGAAATTTAAAAGAAAAACATTTTTAATTCTCATGTGGTCTTGAAATTAAAGGCCAATGTCCTAGACAGGTTTTACAATAAATGAATTAGAAATTTTATTCTATTTAATAGTTCTGTGGCATTTAACACACTAATATTGTTCTAAGGTTTTAACAAAATGCTAACTCATTTAATTTTCACGTAGCTAATTCCTTTAATATTGTATAAAATGTGGGAAAGTGCTGAATGAGTGCTGGCATTCCAGGTGGATGCTCACTGAGAATGACCCATGCTTTGAGGCTAAGCATTATAAAGGATAACAGGATCAACTGGAAGCTTACCTCCCAGGATAAGAGAAATGTTTGTCAGAAAAAGACAAAATGGAAGGAGCCAAAGCAGGAGAACTACAATTGGAAACCAGATCATTCAGGATATGGAAACTTTAACCAAATTAAAATGCACCCTTCACAACCTTGAAGCCAGTGCTCTCACTTTATATGTAAATTGAAGACAGCTGGGGTTCACTCTGGACACCTCCCACCCCACCTCACTCTGCCCCCCAATCCTAGACTGAAAACTCTTCAAGATTATCACATATTTAACTTGCTCCTGAACCACTCTAGCCAACCTTTAGTGGCAAAAAATAAGAAGATAAATAAGCCAATTCATAAACTTCTCCCTCGAACTTAGGTAAACAAGGTTATCTTGGTGGCCATTCAAATTCCCAAAGCACAGGGCAAACTTTCTTGAGATTCTCTCCCTAGACTGGTTTTCTTTGAAGGGCAGTAAAGGAGGGGGAACAAAATTGGAAATTAGCCAAAACAGTGTTTCAAAGTTCTTGCTAACAGATGATTTTTTATTAAGAATGTGACGAAACCAGAAACTTCTACAGGACAAGCACATCACAAATGCTGATTAATTTCCTATCTGATGAAAGGAAGAAAGGAAGGATGCAAGTCACTGAGGAGACAGTGAGGGAAGACCTTATTTGAATGGAAAGCAGTTCCCATCATACATCCCTTAAGGATAACTTTTAAAAGGCAGTAATTGCATTTTGCAATTTTCTAGCTCTGGGTACAAGTATTTAAACCCTTATTACATGCCTGATAAAGTAAAAGTGAGTCCCTGGGGAGATGAAGCATATACATTCTAGTCTGTAAAACATTAGGGAGAGAAACAAAGAGTGTAGCTTTTTAAAAACCTGATCTGAGCCATGTAACCTAAGATACTAAATGACCTGCTCACTACCTTCTGGTACAAAACCATCATCAGAGAATACCATACATTTTTGCCCATCACCAAGTGATTTTCTTTTTTCAGAATAATTTTTTCAGTCTGGAAAACAACTTTTAACTCGGAATGTTCTAGGAAGGTCCCAACTTCAATTACAGGAAACATCAAGCAGGCCTGAGATTGAAATTATAACAACCACACTTTCAGTTTGACTTAAAATACTCAGGGGCTAGAAACATTTAACAGAAGATAAGAGACAAAGCAGATGGCACAGTCCCAGCACAAAGTCAGAAAAATAAGGCTATAAAGAAAGCAGGAGCTAGTTTTACCTGCTGGGGAAAAGAAAGTCTGTCCATTTACATTATATAAGACAAAAATATTCAGGAAATTCTCATATTATGAAAAACCAACTTGGTTTTGAGGCTCAACTTCTGAGCACACACAGGATGAATCAACATCTTATCTCAAGTCAGCCACAAAAACTACTTCACTCAAATTTTTTCACTGCTAATGTTTTATGGCACATTTCCTGTTGGCCACTTGACTTTCATTTCTGAAAAGCTGTCCACCTCATGGCACACTCTGGACAGCTCGAAGCCGGTCCCCAGTGCAAACAGGTGGTCCGTACCGCTTGCCCCATCTTCTCGGCCACATGACCTCGATTCCTCCTAATCTCATTTCTGAATCATTACTTCCGGTGCCCCAGCCGGCTTCTCCCAGTGGCCTGAAGGAGCTAACCCCAAGAAATGTTGACAACACTCTGCCACATCTGGCTTCCAGCGGGATGAAGGCAGAGGCCCAGAGAGGGCGGGCGGAGCGAAAACTCGAGCCTGGAACGACGTCGAGTTAGCAAGGCACAGGCTCTGCCCAGCGCCCGGCTGCTAAATGTCACTCGGAGGAGATGTTCCCGCGGCATCACCCTCCAGGGGCTGGGCGGCCGGCCAGGCGCTGCAGCCGCCGAGCCAGGGCGCGGAGCACGCGGCGCACGCCGCGCAGCGGCCTCTCCCGGCCGGGGGCCGGGGGCCAGGCCGGGGGAGCCCCCTCGGGCTCCACCGCAGCCCCGCCCGGGAGACCCGCGCCGGGGGCGGGGAAGGGAAGTGGGGGCCAGGCGGAGGGGCGCGGGCGGGGAGGCGCGGGCGGGGCCGGGCCTAATCACATGGCGCAGACGACGCAGGCCGCCCGGCATCTCTTTCTTTCTCTTTCGCCAACCTGGGCTCCCATCCCGCCCCACGCAGGCGCCCCCGGCCCGCGTCCCGAGAGAGAGAGAGAGACGAGGCCTCCTCTGCCTCGCCGAGACACTCACTTTTCGCCTGCGGCCACCAGCTCTTTGCCCTCGCTGTTGCTGAACGCGTCAGTCTCCCCGGGGCCGTCCTTGGGGCCGGGCGCCGGCGGGGCCGCGGGCGGCGACGCCCCGGACTGCGGCTGAGTGGCCCCCTTGCCCAGCTCCTGCAAGATCTCCGAGGGGGAGCTGGACAGCCCCCGCGCCAGGGGCCCTGCTGGCCGGCCGCCCCCGCCCCACCACGGGTGGAGCCGCGCGGCGGCGGCCGCCGGGCCCGCGGCCGGCCAGCCCCCGCCCCGTGGGCGCCGGCACAAGGTGACGAGGGGCTGCGCCCGCCTCAGAGCCGCACTGACAGCGGCGGGCGGCCGCAAGAGCAGGTCCCGCAGCATCGTGGAGCCTCGCAGCCGCATCATGCCTCCGGGTCCGTCAGCGCCCGCTCGCCAGGGGAAGATGCTCCGGGTGTGGGCGGCCGCCCTGCTGGGGAAACGCGGTCTCCGGCGGAGAGGCGGAAAGGGCAGAAGAAAAACGAGCAGCGACGTGGGTGCGGCTCCGGCTCCGGCCCCGGGGGCTGCTGCTTCTGCTGCTCTGGCTGCTACCGACGCTGCCCGAAGCCGCTGCTCGCACCGCCGAAGGCTCCGCACTGAGGCTGACGCGCAAGGGAGGGCTGGAGACATTCCGCGCTCACCCACCCGGGGGCGGGAGGACGCCGGCGGCCTGCCCCCTTCGCCTGCTCTGATTGGCTCAGGCTCCCGACCTCTCTTCTGATTGGCAACTGGAGCAGTCAAATTTCTCTCGGCGCCGGCTACGCGGAGAGTCGGGAGGGGGACTTGCGGGGGAAGGGGGAGGGGTGCGAGGCTAGGAACCAGACTGACGTGTGAGGCGGCGGGGGAGTCTGGGCGGGCTCCAGAGTAGCCCCTTCCCTCGTGCCGCCACGGACTACCTTAGATGGCTGCCGAGAGCTCAAGGGTCTCCTCATGTATGAAACGAGTGGGCTCCTTCTGGACTCCGGGGCCTCGAGCTGTTGGGGAGACCCGAGGGCGAGAGCTCCTGTAGCCAAGGGCTGGACGGTCAGCGGCTTGGCCAGGGCTGGAGTCTGGCCGGCCTGGCGGTCCGGGCTCGGCTGGTCCAAGCTTGCCGCTGCCCCGCAGCTATGTGGTCAGGGCGTGTGGCGACTCCTCCGAGGGCCGCGGTCCCGCCGAGGCAGCCCAGGACGAGCTGCATCCCTCTCCCAAATGTAATATTTGCTTGAAACTTTCCATGGTTGGCTACTACCCAGATGTGAAGTGTTTAGGAAAAAATGAGCAAAATCCTTTCAGCTATGCGACTTAAGCCATTTAGAAGGTTGGGGGTGTGGGGAGGGCGAAAAGGGGAGAATCCACTTTCCTTTATAAATTTTTTTTAAAAAGTGCAAATTGATACTTCAAGAATATGATTTCATTAATGCTAGTTTTGTGCTCGAAAGCCAAATTGTAACTACTTTTCTGTTTTAAAGGCTGCTTCATTGTTTTGCAACGGAAGCATCTGAATTCTGATTCTCAATATTCAGCCAAGCATCACTTTATCCATATTTTCTTTTAGACTTATGGGAAAACAGCCATAGATCTGATGAACTCCGAATCACTGCCTGAGCTCACATATAGAGTCCATTCTCGGACAAAGATGTTATTAGACGATTTTCTGAAACAATTAGGTTTAAAGGCATAGACCCAAAGGTTCATAGGATGATTTTTATGAGACATAAGGGTGTATGACAGGTGCGTCATGAGCTGATCACCAGATTTAGTAACCTCATGAATCTTAAAACATCTCACTAGATTAATAATTAGGAAATCTGACTACCTACATGACCTTTGGCATGTCACCCAGTCTTTCCATGTTTAAGTTTCTATCTGCTCTTTAACCGGAAGAACCTGGAAAGTGCTATCATGTGTAAAGCAGTTAGTCACCCTTTTTTTTTTTTAATAAAAGCCGTTAAGGCCGGCGCCACGGCTCACTAGGCTAATCCTCCACCTAGCGGCGCCGGCACACCGGGTTCTAGTCCCGGTTGGGGCGCCGGATTCTGTCCCGGTTGCCCCTCTTCCAGGCCAGCTCTCTGCTGTGGCCAGGGAGTGCAGTGGAGGATGGCCCAGGTGCTTGGGCCCTGCACCCCATGGGAGACCAGGAAAAGCACCTGGCTCCTGGCTTCTGCCATCGGATCAGCGCGGTGCGCCGGCCGCAGCGCGCTGGCCGCGGCGGCCATTGGAAGGTGAACCAACGGCAAAAGAAGACCTTTCTCTCTGTCTCTCTCTCTCACTGTCCACTCTAACTGTTAAAAAAAAAAATTAAAAAAAAAAGCCGTTAAGATAATTGCAAATTACTTAACAGCTTTTATTACTGTTTAATGTTAATTGCCACAAAAATGTTGATATGAATCAAAGTAATGTCATATTCACGAAATTGAACCCCAAGTTTTGGAGGAAAGGTAACAAATATGGCCTCTGCCTCATCTTTGTAGTGACTTATCAATGATTTGCAAACCTTTATATTGTCCTATCTTTCATACTAAGCAAGAAGTTTTGACTTTTTTCTCAGCCACATCGAAAGCTACTAACAAATCCTGTTACTGTTTTCCTCCCAATTTTTCTCTTAGCTTCTCTATTTTTCCTATGAAATTCTTTCTGATACTCAAAGGTTTTAATGGCTCATAGTGAGGACAGTGCTGTGGTGTGGATACATCACCCAATGGTGGAGACGCTGCTTGCGGGTGCTGGTATCCTATGTGGGGGCCCATTTTGGGTCCGGCTGCTCTGTTTCTAATCCAGCTCGCTGCTAATGCACCTGGGAAAGCAGTGGAAGATGGCCCAAATGCTTGGGAACTTGCACCATGTGGGAGACCAGGAAGAAGCTTCTGGCTCCTGGCTTGGGATCAGCCCAGCTCCAGCAGATGCAGCCATTTGGAGGGTGAACCAGGGGATGGAAGATCTCTCTCTCTCTCTCTCTCTCTCAGCATCTGCCTCTCTGTGACTCTGCCTTTCAAATAAATAAATAAATCTTTAAAAGACACAAGCAGATATGTTCTGCTTCTAAAAAACCAAAAATGCCCCACAGTATACTTAATAAACAAGAAAGCTAACCTAGTAATAGATTATTCTCTAGAGTTTATATTTAGAAGGGTGAGCTGGTGGGGATGGACAGATGTTACTCCTAACATTTAGAAGAACTAAAAGTCAGAGTCCAGTGAAGTTTAACTCCTTCTTTGAGAAATCCAGTGAAAAGATTATAGCTAATAATTTGAAGCTATTATAAAGAGAACGAAAATGTGACTCAATACTATCATTTGATTTCTTAACCATAGATCTTTTTTTCAGTCTTTAGGGATGCTTTACTCACACAACTTCAGGACTATGCACTGGAGCCTCAATTACATTGAATGTAATCATATCATCATAGAAAAGAAACATCTCTGTAAAAACATACCGTGATCCACCACAATGTCTACAGCAGAAAAAGGCTCTCCGGATTAACACGTGGCTGGTGTCAGGGCTGCTCTTCCACTTCCTCTTTGTGATTAGCTAAGTGCAGCTATCCCACAGAGGGTGAAGGTCTCATAGCCGGCCCCAAGTAATCCCCCATCTGAAGGCAACATTGGGATTTGTGCAGTTCACTTCTATTCTAACTTAAAGAATTTGACTTTTGAGCCTCTTCACTTCTGAGCTTCTATGCTCTTTTAAAGATTAGAAAAGGCAAATGTTTTAAGATTATCATGTAACCCATATGTAAATTCCAGATCTTGCCCTTCACAAAAGCTGAAATATTATTTGTTGACTTAGAGCTAAGCGGAAAGTAATTCTCCTGTGAGTAACAACTTAAAAGAATTGCCTGAGAATTCTTAACATTCGGAGGCTAGGGTAAGGTTTGGGAAACCTCTAAACGAGCCTGTGCTACTACTTCCCTTTCTTCTGTTGGTTTCCTGCTTTAACTGGCCAGCTTCCTAGCCTCGCTGATAAGCCTTGCCAAACATGACTTATTTTTCCAATGCTAAACTTAGACCTATGTCAAAGCAAGTATTATACATCCCTCATCTATAAAATGAGGATAATATTAATATTTGTCTTATAGAGCTATGGTGAGGGTTGAGTGACCAATATGTGTAGTGGTAGGAGTAATGCCACTGTTCTGTGTCCTATTGTAACCATGGGTGAATAGATTCTGTTGTGCAGTGTGGTCATTTGTCACGTTCAACATAGAAAAGCCAAACTGGGAATTGTTTCAAACCATCTAATCATAAAATCCTTAAGGAAATGCTGGTGTCCCCAAATGAGTTCAGTTATTTCACTTTTAGAAAACAAACCAGTAATTTCCAAAGTATCTTAAGATAGAAAGGGACTGTTGCACAGACAGGTTAAGGAAAGTTAGGCTCAGTGCCCACGGTACCCACTATACACAAATAACATTTAAAAGTACTGAAGAAGGAAAAATTGCTGGGGAACAAACAGCAAGCTCTGGGTATACATGTTATATTCAAATACCCTAACATATGGGCAGTAAATCTAAAAATCTATCTCAATCTATTTAATCTAAAAACCTATCATTTGCTATCTATGTCAGTGAGATTGAACATCTGTTCATTGTGACATCACACAAAAATGACAAGATTTTCATCAGACTTAAGCAGCATATTTAAATGGTCTGGCTTGAGGGACAGCCACTGTGACAAAGCAGAGAAAGCTGCTTGGGACACCCACATTCCATATCAGAGTCCTTGGTTTCCAATCCCACCTCCACTTCTAATCCATCTTCCTGCTAATACACCTGGGAGACAGCAGATGATTGCCCAAGTGCCCAGGTCCATGCCATCCACATAGGAGACACAGATGGAGTTTCTGGCTCCTGGCCTTGTCCTGACCTATCACTGGCTGTTGTGGGTACTGGAAGAGTAAACCAACAGATCTATCTCTCTGTCTTTATTCTCTTCTCTCTCTCTCCTTTCTATCCTCCCTCACCCCATACTTTCAAATACATAAGCAAATCAATCTTTCTAAAAAATTAAATGCTCTGGGAGCTGGCATTGTTGCACACTGGATTAACTTAATTAATCTGGCACTGGTAATGTTGGCATCCCATGTGAGTTTCAGTTTGAGTCCCAGCTGCTTGACTTCTGATCCAGCTCCCTCCTAATGTGCCTGGGAAGGCAGCAAAAGGTGGCCTCTATGTAGGAGACTCAGATGGAGCTTTGGGTTCTTGACTTCTGCCTGGTTCAGCCCCAGCCATTGTGGGCACCTTTCAAATAAATAAACCTTTTTTTTTTTTAATGCCTTGGCTTGAAATACTAACTGTAGGGTCTGGGGCTGTGGAGTAGCTGGTAAAGTCACCACCTGCAGTGCTAGCATCCCATATGGGCACTCATTCGAGTCCTGGCTGCTCCACTTCTGATCCAGCTCTCTGCTAATGTGCCTGGGAAAGCAGTGGAAGGTGGCCCCTGCATCCACGTGGGAGACCTGAAAGAAGATCCTGGCTCCTGGCTTTGGATTAGCCCAGCTCCGGCAGTTGAGGCCATTTGGAGAGTGAACCAGCAGATGGAAGATTGATATCTCCTCTCTCTCTCTCTCTCTCTCTCTTTCTCTCTTTCTCTCTTTCTCTCTTTCTCTCTCTGCCTCTGCCTCTCTGTAACTCTGCCTTTCAAATAAATA